CAGCTGCAATCACCAAGCATTCCATTCACTTTCTCCATCTCCTGGAGAGCATGTGGCCTGGGAATACCATGTCTTCAGGCCACAGCTCTCAAACAAGCGATACACTGATGGGAGCCTTGGACAAGTTACTTAACGTATCTGAATCCTAATTGCCTCTTCTAGAAAATGAGGGAAAACTAGAAAGTAGGACCCTGAACACTCAAAGCCTCGACCTATCTGGTTTGCTTGGACTTTTCCTCCTCCAAGTAACAGCAGGTGTTCAGTTTCTCTACATAAATCCTCACCTTTCATTAGTTAGGTGATCCTGCTTCTCTTAGAAAATGCACAGCTCTGCCCCGAGTGAGGCTGGAGCGCTAAAGTCCAAGTGTAAAACAGTGAACCAGCCAGACCAAGCGTTTAGCTCAGCTGGCAGCAGGCCTGGTGCTGAGCATGGGCAACCAACTGGACCATCTCACGGGCAATTATCACCACTCAAAGTAAAGAAATGCAGGTTAAATTGTCTGGGTTCGAAATCAAGCAGTGGGATCAATTTGGTCCCGTCTTAGGCATATATATGCTGCCAGGTATTACAAGCTGTCAGCGCTGACTGGGAGTGACAAAGCCAGAAATGGGAGCAAGAGGCAGTGTCGGGAGGACTCTGGCAGGCACTGACTTCATGAAGCTGAAGCACCTCTATGGTCTTAAAGTCACAGTTCTCTAGACGAACAGACTCCGTCATCAAATCCGCAGGAAGGGGAAGGAGGCACCATTTCCCCCGTGTCTTGCCATTGTTTGCCAGCCTGAGAGCTCGAAGCAAAATGAATAATCCACCAACATTTAAAGGCTGGGGGCAGGGGGCGATGGGGAGTTGCTGAAGGGGACAGAGTTTCAGTTGGGGAAGATGAAAAGTGCTTAAGATGGAATGTGGTGACAGTTGCACAACAATGTAAATGTATTTAATGCCACCGAACCGTATACTTAAAAATGATTAAAATGGCAAATGTGATGCTATGTATATTTTATCACAATAAAATGTAGCTCATAGGAAAGAAGATTAAAATAATAATAATAATAACAATAACAATAACCCCAAATCATGGTTTAGGAATTTTAGTTTGCTTTCATGGTTGAAATGAGAGCCTGTAAGAATCTAGCTACTCAGTAAAAAAGTTCTGACATAGAAAGTAAAGGTTGACACTTGCTCTAGAGGAGACCTGAGACCTGAGACTCACCTAGTTATTTTGAGCCCAACCTAACCCCCTTTGGGCCTCAGCCGCACCACACCCAAAGCGGGTGTCCCAGGTCAGCTGCCCTGAATTTGCACGGAGCCCACAGCTGCACTTCTGGGATCTGCTGACCCCTCCATGTGAATGTAGGTGCGTTTCCCTGGAGGCAGGGCCATGACCTTCATCAGATTCCCAAAGGGGAACTCACCTCCCATTCAACTTCAAACCCACTAACAGAAATGGTTCATTTCTCAGAGGTTCTTCCACTGTCTAACATTATACAGATGAAGCCCCTGCAAACAAAAGGCAATCCCTCCACGTTTTCGGATGTTGGAACCTCCTCTGAACTTTAAAAGACTACTCTGGAACATGGCCCCTGGCTTCCTCTGAGGGAGCTGCAAGGAAGAAGTACAGTTTAGTGCCGTATCTCAGGAGTTTTGCTCTACCTGAGGCTTTTTTTTTTTTTTTTTTTCCTGTTGAAATAGAAAATCCATGAAGGAGGGCACAGTCCCAACCGTGCTTTGGTTCTGCTATTTGCTTATGCACAGTAGTCCCTTGGGGGCTGGGACTTGCTGATGGAACAGAGGGGGTGAGGGATTTTTGCCGAGTGCCGAGAATACCTAGACGCTTCAATATTTCCTGGGCACCTGGAACTATTGGCGCAAAATGAGTTTGCAAAGAATCATTACATTTTGAATTACATTTGAATTTTGGATGGTGATATTTCTCCATCCTGAGGATATCCACCCTGCGGATATAATCTGGGAGAGGCTCTGTCCCTGAGGACTTTGAGAATCCACTCTACCTTATCAATGAGAACAGCAAGCTCATTTTATTTGACTTCAGCAAAAGACGTCACCAGACTGGCCTGGGAATAACACATAGGAAATTGAAGACAGTTGTATAATTAAGTTCACAAAAGGCCAATTCTTAACAACCATATTTCAGATACTCGTAATGCCTTCTCATCCATTCTCCCAAATGCCTTCATAATATATTCAGAGTGAAAAAAATATAACGGATTGCTCTGAGATATTCAATTAGTTCTATAAAAAGAGAAAAATAATTTTTCAATAAAGAAATTCAACCAAATGACTAAAGCTGACACTGGAAAACCAGCTTCAAAATAATTATGCATTTCCTTTGCATTCTTGCTCCAACAAAAGTTGATGACATTGCCACCATTAGAAACAGCCATCCGTCTGATGATTAATTACGTTTGTGTTCCTATCTTAGAAGGTATTTATTTGGATATTTACTCTGGAGCTGTCTGTGGGTATTGATATGTTTAAAGTTCCACCAGCTCCGTCCCCCCTAAAGATTGTGTTCTCACTGCTTCGGGACTCACCGCTCAGCTTCCTTCAAGCTGGCTTCTTCCCCGCTCATGGAAACCTCTCCCCAGAAAGTCACCATAACACCCTCCTTCCAAAATCCCATTGCTTCTCTTTACTCCTTATCCTTTGGGGCATCACAACACATTTAATGTTGGTCTTTCCTGCCTCTTCCAATTCATCTTCCCTGTGTCGTCTGCAAACTGTCATCTGCTCTTTAAACTGTGGGGTTTCCATCTGCACCTCTCTGTTGTTCTGCACTTTCACTTAGGTGACCTAATTTGCTAGAAAGGTTTCAAAAGCATCTGTGTTGACAACTCCCCCCTTGGCTATCTCAGTGCTGGCTCTGCGCAACTCTATGTGGCGCACTGAATATAGGGGCTACTAGGACTGTCAAAGCTGAACCTGTGTTCCCACTCCTCATGGCCTCTGCCCTTCTTCCGGCAGCCAGACCTGAGGGCCTAATCACCTAGACAAGACATTTCTTTCCTGTTCACCTAGACAAGACATTTCTTTCCTGCCTACATCATGACTCAATCAACTGCTGGTCTCCCTACCTCCCATGTCCAACATCTGTCGATACCATTGTGTGTTTCTAAAAATAAGTCAGATCGGATCGTTCTACTGACTTTCTGAAAAACTTCCAGTGGCTTCGTGCAGTGTGTAGAATCAGTGCAAGCAATTTGTCATGACAGTCAAGGCTCTCGTGCCCTCCCAGACATCTCCAGCCTCAACCCCTTGCTGTCCTTCAATATACCCTGCAGTAGAGGACAGCCCCACGATGGCCCCAGATGATTTTGCATGATCCACACAGGCCAGGTAAAGGCTTGAGCACAGCCAGTTTGAGTGCTGGCGGAATGTCTCGGGATCCTCCCGGAACTGTGGGCAGGGGAGACTTGTGAGGAGCAGCTGTGGTCCATTTCCCACTCACTTTCCTATGTCCCCTGGAGGCTGTCACAAGACAGTTTCTTACCTTATTCTGAGTTCTGATGAGGGACGAGGCCCCCACCTACCCTTTAGGGTGCAGCTGCAAACAATAAAACTGCTGACAATCAGCTCGAAATTGGCTCCTCGGTGACAAGGTGTCCCTTCATTTGTGATGCAGTCAACTGGCCCCTCTTGTTTTGGTGTCACCTGCACAAGGGCCACCTTTGCCTACTCGACCTTTATCTGTCCATGTAAGTAATAAACTGACTGAAGTTAAAAAAGAATCATTGTTTCTTTACCAACAGAACCTGTCAGGCCAGGCCTGGCCCTGCACTTGACACCAGTACTCTTTGCTCAGATATTCACTACCCTTCTTCCCCCATGTGATTCATAACTTACCTTTAAACTTAATGTGCATTTCAAAAAGTAAACATAGTATGAGATAAAATAAAATTAAGATTGTAAATCTGGTTTAGTGCAAATGAGAAACACCTGCCTACAAGAGACAAGATTCCCACATGCTAAAAGGAAGCCCGACATTAGGTCAGTACTAGTGCATAATATTAGAGTGCTCTAACTCTAGAAGTGCATCAAATCCTTTTGGAATAAGGCAAATCCATATACTTACTATCTGTGGCCTGCAAATTTGGCCCTAACTTTCCTCACAGAAAATAGTAATTACTAATGAATGGTTTGTCCCAAGAGCAAACCTCTAATGCATAGATGACTAAAAATGAATTTAGAGACAGGTAAATGAAATCATGCTGAGTCTTATTAAGAGTAAACACCCTTTTCTTTAAGTGGAAGACATTATCACATAGGTGATTATCAGGGCTTCTTAAAATAATGTTCCCTAAAATGAAAAACATTTCAGAAAGTAGCTAAAATATTGAAAAAGTAAGACTTTAAACATAAGGCCCAAAGATTATGTTTTGATTGCTACAGCTGCTCCAAGAGCCAGTTAGTGGTTTTGTTTCTGGTACCTAACCCACCTTTCTGCCCTGTGCTGCCAGACCAGCCAGGCCAGCACCCAATGGCACCATCAGCCATGCCAGATCCCTTTTCACCCACAAAAGAAAACCCCAGAAGGACTCTGTCTCTTCAATCAACTACCCAGTCATTATAGAGCTATTCCACGTCACACATGGCCTTCTTTCATGGAATCTCCATCCTGCTGTACCACCAACGTATGGGAATATTTGGATACTTAGATTAAAGGTTGATTTTGGTAAGCAAGGAAAAGTCCTATTTGTTATCTCCATTCTTTGAGTGACTTTCAATGCGTTAGTATGACTTGTGCGTTAAAAGTTCAGCATTCTAAAGATACAGCCTGAAGAACTTAAATCACCAGTCTCATACACAATAACAGGCTTCAGAAACCACTAAACTTTATACAAATATGTAAATTATTACTGTTAGTCCTGATCCAACCCTGCTAACAATAACAAAGATGTCTAGCACGTCGGGGAAATGTACTGTGGAAAATTACCATTGCGTTACACCAGCTGCGTCTTAACATTACCCCTTTCTCCCATAGGCAACCCACCGGCTACCGGTACTGGAACTTTGCTGATAACCTTGGAAGACGTGAATGACAATGCTCCCTTCATTTACCCCACAGTAGCCGAAGTCTGCGATGATGCCAAAAACCTCAGTGTAGTCATTTTGGGAGCGTCAGATAAGGATCTTCACCCAAATACAGATCCTTTCAAATTTGAAATCCATAAACAAACTGTTCCTGATAAAGTCTGGAAGATCTCCAAGATCAACAGTAAGTCCAGTTAAATGTTCTGCATTTAATTCTATAGTTAATGAGGCATCGAGCCTCATTCCCCTAGCTTGGTTTCTAAAACTGCTCTCATGTATCCTCACGTGGCTAATTTCAAGTTATTTATGCACTACGAATACTTATAATTTTCCCACCAGCGAAAGAATACAATTTGTAAAAATGTTGAATATCAGTTCCTTATAAAGGCAAACATGAAAGTTTTCTTTTTTGCTTCCTCTCTTATATTTTCTATTCTGTACACTATATACTATCCACCTATATGGTTTAATTGTATACAGTATACTATACACCCTATACTGTACAACATTGTACCGTACGCACCCACCCAGTCTTCAGCCTTCAAAAGCCAGAGGTTTATATCTTGGCTCAGCTGTCGCTCCTCTCTCAGATAACTGTGTTTATGTTAACTTTCACCAGCACTTTGGAGAGATTTTCCATGCTATGCTTGCTTTCATAAAAGATGAAAGAAAAGAAAGGCAACAGTACAGGAATCTTTAGAAAGTCTTAACCCCTAATCCTCCATCTTCCATTTCATGCTGCAGACCTCCTCAGAATTGACTTAGTCTGTGTAATGACCTTGGCTTTTCTTTCAAATCCTTGGCTTTCACTTTCAACTTTGATATCTTCTTTCATCTATCTTGTCTCTCATTTGTGAAACTCTCAAGCAATGTCCCTTCCTACCAACCTTTCCACGTGGGCAAGAAAATTCAAACCTTGGCACAATGTTTATTATGTACTTTATTAAGAATGAAACACCAGCGTATAGAATTATAAAGCATCTCTCTATCCATAACACCTCGGCCACTTTCCTCTTCACTGCTAAGTTCACCTTGCCGTGGACCAAGGCCAAAAACCAGAACTCACACCTCAGACAGACACTCTGTCATCAATAACGACTTCTCCTGCCATTGACTCAGTCACTGCTTCTTCTTGCATCAGTGGTAGAATTTTGGAGAGAGATGGGGAATTACCCATTTCATTAAGTTTTGAAAATGTGTTATCCAATTGTGCATAATTTTTCTATTAGAAAATCTCATGTGTATTATTATGACCTTATCTCAAATCACTTTATTAGTGCCTTTCTCTTGTTATTGGTTCTATTTGCCTGTTTGTCTATTTTATTGCTTTTTAAAGAATGGGTTTTGTTACACTGATTATTTTTAATTAAAACAGCAATTCCCTTCTTTGAGGGGTTACTGTTTTATTTGCTAGGTGTTGCTATAGCTGATTTGAGTTCTCATCACCAGTTCTTTCCAACTGGAACTTTCTCATTCAAGAGTTTCTCGTCTAACTTGAGGGAGATCAGAGAATGTTCCTCGAGTTAATCTGCCATTTCACTGGGGTAATTATCTACCTCGGTTATATCTGCTGCTGTCACCTTAGGATAATACTTCATCTGTTTTTGTTTTCATGTCATCACCCTCTCTTTTCCCTCCTGGTTTTATCGAATAGATAAGGTGCCTTCTAAATTCTTTTTCTTGCCCCAAAATTTTTTGCTGAATACTTAGCATTGTTTATGCCCAGAAGGGAGTAGTTTAAAACAAGCAAAAATCCCTAGTCATCTGAGGGATGGGAAAGAGAATAGCCTGAGGCTAAAAACAGTGGCCAGGTGGGATGGTCACTTCTGAGTGCTGCCCTGGAGGCCTGGATAATGGCAGATGGTCCCACCAAACATGGACCCAGTCTCTATGTTGTGGATTGTGCTGTGGATTCCCACCCAAATCTAGGGCTATGGGCTGAGGACTGATAAAGACTACTGAATTCATCCCCATGGCAACACACAGGAGTCCAGCCCATGTATAGAGTGAGTGGATTTTTTTTTTTCAGGTCCAAGAATTTATTTTGATTATTTGAATTTGGATTCTTACATAAAAATGCTCTGAGATGATAATTTTTTTAATTTTTTTCCAGCTTCGCTAAAGTATAATTGACAAAGATTGTATATATTTAAGGTGTACGATGTGATCATTTGAGAGTGAATTTTCACAATATTTTTTCTAGGTATTGAATGTGGTGTTTGTGAGGATGGCTTTATTGGTATAATAAATCTGCAGGGTGGAGTTCTTGATACTCCATCATCTTCACAAAAGCAGGTCCCCTTGAAATTGATTACAAAAGCCCTGAGACACAGAACTCTGTTATAGTGGAACCGTCTGTCTGGGGCTGTCTGGTATGGTAGCACCAGCCACATGTGGTTGACAGACACTTGAAATGTGGCTAGTGCAACTGAGGAACTGAATTTATATTTTTATTTGATAATAATGAATTTACATGTAAACACTGTCGTGCTTATAAACAGAACGCAATGCCCGTTTTATGGGTCTTCACTCTTTTATTTGGAAAGGCCCGATCCTCTCTCATGAAGCTCTTCCTTTTCCTCGTAGACACGCACGCCCTGGTAAGCCTCCTTCAAAATCTGAACAAAGCAAACTACCACCTGCCCATCATCGTGACAGATTCAGGGAAACCACCCATGACGAACATCACAGACCTCAGGGTACAAGTGTGTTCCTGCAAGAATTCCAAAGTGGACTGCAACGCAGCGGGGGCTCTGCATTTCAGCCTGGCCTCAGTCCTACTCATCTCTCTCTTCAGTTTAGCTTGTAAGTCAGCCTAACTCCAGTGCATGCACAAGGATGAAAACATAACTTCACTGAAACCGTTTCCCCCCATATATCTTCCAAAAGAATCTATCCCAGAGGAACATTTATTTTTAGTTTATGTCTATATAATAGAAAGTGTTACATGTAAAAGTGCTCCAGTATTTAAGGGCATATTAACATCTCCCTGCCAACTAAACTTAGCAATTGTGAGCAAAGGTACTCTTCGCTATCATTCCTGCAGATGCCACTGAACTTGAGCTAATACAAATGTGCCCAGATTAGTTAACTGGTCTGCCAAGGCCTTATTTCAATACCTCTCTACATTGTGTGGAATAATCTTTTTCAAGTAGACACTATACCTTTTTAAGAACAATCATGAGAATTCGTGAATGGAAGTTTGGCCATAGGAGAAGAGAGATAATTCGCACATCATTTTTTTCACTGACAGGTAGTAAGAGCTATAATATAATGAAGCATTATTTTAAAGAAATGAATTATTATGCCTAGTAATATAGATATAAGTATAAAATTAATAGATATGTATATCAAATATTTCCTATTTGTTGAATACTAGTCCAATTTTAACCTTAGCAATTATTTATATATAGCTAATGCCATTCAAAAGCCTTTTGGGCCTCGGTATTTACATTTTGATGTGTTGCAAGGTTATTGATGTAATTTTGAATTAGGAAGTTGAGAAATTGATGATTAGAAAGGAAAATAACAAAAGTTATTATATCCTGGTGACAGCGGCAAATAGGGTCAACAGGAAATTCTATATTTCAACATTGTGTATAAAGCTCTATGCTGGGTCCGCATCCTGTGGGTAGAACTAAGGAGGAAAAGATCTTACAGTAAGTGTCTCGGTGGAAAAAAGGAAGGAAGGAGGGAAGGAAGAAAGGAAGGAAAAAAGGAAGGAAGGAAGTACACACATGTCTGAGACAGATGCACACCACACTAGCATAAGTAAAGATTGTCTCCCACCCCAAGGTGTGAAATGAAAACAAAGCACATATTAAGGGCTAATAAAGCTTACCAGGAGTTGGGCTTGGGCTGGCCCTGCCTACAATCCACAAGGGGATTCATGGCTACTTATAACCCCTGGCTTGTCTGCAGTGGGAGTCATTGACGTGATATATTCCCCTCTCTCAGTCTTGAATTCTTCTTTTTCTTAGCTTTCTTCTCTTTTCCCTTTTCTTCAAGAAATAAAATGTCACGCATAAGGTGAAATTCCCTATGTTCCTCTCCTGGTTTCCTTTCCTGTTCTCTCTCCCCAGAGACAATAGCTATCATGAGTTAGAGTGCGCCTGACATTGTTTTATATTTTTACTACACACACACACACACACACACACATAGTTTTATTTTGTGCAGTTTGAAAACTTCATGAAATTTGTATTATATTGAACATGACATTCTGCATCTTGCTTTTCTTCCTCTCCCCATCACATTTCCAAGATTCATCTATATTGTTCTAGTTCAGGGGTCAGCAGACTTTCTCCATGAAGGGACAGAGCAAATATTTTGGGCTCTGTGGGCCACATCAGGTCTCTATCACATATTCCTTTTTATTTTCTTTTTTTAATTTATTTCCATCTTCTGTTTTTTACTACTTCTTAGCTTGAAAGTCATACAAACACACTATGACTCACCAGCCATAGTTTACTGCTACACTAGTTCATTCATTTTAACTGCTGAAGAGTATCCTGTTGTATGAATATGCAATGTATTCCTCTATCAACAGACATATTAGGATTGTTTATAATGTCCTGCTGTGACCAACTCTATTGTAATAAGCATGTAGAATCTGTTTTCCACCATCTTCTCAAGTGAGCACTAGTCAGACGGTGAGCCCAGTACTGGGTCTGGGTTCTAGGAGCAATTGGAATTCACATAAAGCAGAGTCTGGATTAATAAGAGAGTAATACCTCCTACGTGCTTGTAAAGAAATAAAATATGTGTGTGCATATGTGCAAGTTATGTGTGTGCATGTGTTATACATGCATACATGTGTTGCATGTGTTATATGTGTGCACAATTGTGTGTGTTGTGTACATAAAGAGAAGATCATGAGTGGACACTCACACATCACCCAGTATAAATCCAATTATACAATATCAAAGCCTGACTCTCAATGACATCCCTTTGAAGAACTAAGGCACTGCAGCAGTGGTCCCCAACCTTTCTGGCACCAGGGACCGGTGCTCCTATGAGAATCTAATGCCTGATGATCTGAGGTGGAGCTGAGGCTGGGATGCTCGTGCTGGGGAGCGGCTGCAAATACAGATGAAGCTTCGTTCGCTGGTCCACCGCTCACCTTGCACTGTGCGGCCCAGTTCCTAACAGGACACTGGATCAGTACTGGTCATGGACCAGGGGTTAGGGATCCCTGCACTGCAGGACACTACTCACTTATCAGCTACTCTAGACTTTAGTGAGTTTTTGAAATGGAGACTTCCTCTCTCTACTTGCTGAAATACAGATTCCCACGCCTGTCCAACCTGTAAAAGCAACATCCCAGGTGACAGTGGCCTTCAGCACACAGACTCTGGGTTTGGATATTTTTAAACAATATATTTTACAATAATACACACGTCTGGTACTACCAATCCATATATTACATATTAGTAAGACAATCCGTTTATATTAAAAGCAATATTAATAAAGGTAGCAGTATTTTCTTCTTACAAACAAGAGATTTTCCTGTGCCCCATATTTTGGGGACCCCTGGCCTGCAGATATCAATAACGAGCATGTTCCCAAAGATTACCCACTTCTCATCTCCCTCCACTGAGCTCTTAGATCAGTTAACGCAAAGCAGAATGGCCCGATAACTCCTAAAGAACTCATGTTCATTTTATACTCAAAATAGTATCACTGAGAAAAAACAGATGCATGTATAACATGTTTGAGAGATCAAATGTGCTTTTGTTTCACATAAATGGAGAGCCATCCTCTCTAGCATGACAGGTTATCCCACTGCAGGTAAGGGTATCTGGAGGTAAAGCCGAAACCATCCTCAAAAAGGAGCTTTGAATCTCCCTACATAGCTGGAAAGGTACTGGGTTGACCCTGTCTAGTGCTGTGCACCACAAGACAGGTAGTTTCAGCCCAAAAAAACAATGACGAACAGGTGTTACCACTCACCTATTTGACTTCAAAAAAAACATGAGTCTGGCCCTATATAAAAGGCATAAGGTTATTTAATACTGTCCATTTGAACATTAGAGGTGCCTGCCAAATAAAAAGATTCTTGTTTTATTATATATCTAGCCCAAGATGTTCTTCCTAAAAAAAAAAAAAAAAATGGATGTATCTAATAAGACATGTGAGAAACTTGGTCAGAGCTAACAAAAATAAGTAACCCTGGGTGTCCTGTGACTCAGACACTGTCTCCTAAAAGCAGAAGTCAAAGTGGCCAACCCACCTGTGCCAATACTAACATGATGTTGACAAGAGGCTGCACAGAAAGGGAAGTAAACCATAAGCAAAATGGGGCGGCAGGGCAGGTGGGAATTCTAAAAGGACTGAAACTAGACTATCAAGTGCAAGGGTAAGATAACTTCCTAACTCAACCACTGTCCTTGAAAGAATCTGGGATCTGGATGAATCTATTTGATTTTTCTTTAAAGCAGGAGCTGGCAAACTATGGTCCAATGACCAAATTTGTCCCGTGTCCTGTTTTTGTAAATAAAATTTTATTGGAACACATCTATATCTATTAATTTACGTATTGTCTGTATCTGCTTTCAGAATTGAGTAGTTACCACAGAAACCATAAGACCCGCAAAGTCTGAAATATTCATTATCTGGTCCTTTACAGAAAAAGTGTGCCAATACCTTCTTCAAAGCATTCTTCATAAATCTGCATCACATAACGTGGGAAGGAAAAAAAAAGGGGTTTTCTCCTCCCGTCAAATAATATTCAGGTCCAAGCAGACTGCATTAACCAAACACCCTGATGTTCCGTGGCTTTTCTGTCTATTTTCTTCATTGGCTTGGTGATTTTATTGCACTTTATAAATCTGAAAACTCAGAAAGGTCCCAAGGGCCCAAGTGAGTAAGCAGTGAGGCCAGCATTCACTATTAGACTGCCTCCCTTATAGAAAAAGATAATAAAAACATTTGAGTTTATTATGATACTGTAGATGGCTTTATTGCAACTGAGAATTAAACTGAGAGATCTGCACTTCTCTCTTTGACATCTAAATATAAAGGAAATAAAACTAATGACATTGAAAGTAATAAAAAATGTAAATGAAATTATTTTTACTGCCAATTTTGTTGTTTAAATTACATGTTGATGACATTGTGGGGTGCATAATTCTCCCCCTAGGACCTTCACAAGATCCTAGGCAATCTGCCTTTTCTAATTATAGCCTTATCTGGAATTTTCTATAAATGGAATCATGCAATGCATGTTGTTGACTGTATCATTTTGTTCCTCTTTATTGTGAAATGTGTTATGGGCAGAGACAGGGCCTGGAGAAGCACCAAACTCAGGTAAAGCAGGCAGTCCTCTGCCTGGCGATGTCCCCAAGTTATGCTTTGTACCCTTACCGTGGTACAAAATCGTGGACAAAGATAGTTGACTTCCAGGGGCTTTCTATGTGCCTGCTATGCACATGTGAAGCTAAGAGCTTTACATGTTATGTAGATGATCTCATGTAATCAGCTCAACAGCCCTAGAAAGTAGGATCGTTTGTGTTATAGTCTAAACTGACTTAAAACAGGGATTGGCAACTTCCCCATTTAGTGGATTTTATTCAGCCCAAGTTTTTTTCTATTTTTCTCAATGACCAAACTTAAGTTATTGGTACCACACTGGAAAGTATTTTTAAATAAAATCAGTGGTGTCATTTAATATGTTCTTTTCACATCCTTCTTCGAATATGAAGGAGTCTGCAGGATATGATTCCCTGCATCCAAGTGACTAAAGAATTTTTAAGGCAGTGGTAGCAAGGGCAGTGAAAAATTCAAGTGAAATAGGATATTAAATGAGTTCAGAGCTTGGCTATTTTATGAACAAGTTGACTTGGTAGTTTAGTGATTGATGATCATCCCAGATATTTTATGAATACGAAGTGAATGCAAAGGAATTCACTTGTCAAACAATATAAAGGTCCCTGGGTGTAGAAAATAACAACGAAAAATTGCATCTGAATTAGCTTATTAATTTCCATGGCCCTTTCTATAAAACAGCTTTAACCCTTAACCTTAATATCACCTTGTTTATACATGAGTCCCATTACAAAGACTTTTTATCCAGAATTTAGAGAAACTGCTTTAAATTTTTCAAACAGATAAATGACAGGTTAACCCTCTAAAAGTAATGAGGTGCAGAGTAGGGGGGTGAGTTTTACATACTAATCCACCCCTCAACAGGTTTTGAATGAAAAGGCCCAAGGTTTAGAGAGTAATAACCCATTATAGTTCTAGTGATCAGTTCATTCTGGAAGTAGGATCATGTACATCGTAGGCTGACCTTTCGATGTTTAATTTTTTTTTTATTGTAACACAAGATTTGGTGGTACCAGTTCCCTGTACAAATTCGGGATATAATAATTAAGCAAAAATGTCAGAGAACCGACCTATTTCCATTCACACTATCATCAGGCCAAATGGAGGACCCCAGGCTGGTGTGCAACCTAGAGAATAACCATAGATTTGGCAACCTCAGTAAACTTTAATAAGACCGTTCAGGCCGTGAAGATGGCAGAAATGGCCATGAGCCAAATACGTGCAGCCTGTGGAAGCTGGAAAAAGCAAGGCTTCTCCCCTGGAGCCTCCAAAAGAACACAGCTCTGCCAGCACCTTGATTTTAGCCCCATAAGACTCATTTGGGACTTCTGATCTCCAGAGCCGTAAAAGAATAAACTTGTGTTGTTTGAACCACTACGTTTGTGGTCATTTGTTACAGAAGCCCTAGGAAACTAATACACTATGTCTGAAGAACCACCAATAGCTATCTTGCTCTTGTCTGTTACTAAAAAAAAAATCTGGGATGATCGTCAGTCTCTAAACTACCAAGTCAACTTGTTCATAAAACAGCCAAGCGCTGGGCTCACGTGCGAGAGATAGGGCTCAGTGGTAGCAGAGGTAATAGCCGCTGCTGGTCTGCGATGAGGTGTTTGACATTAAGCATTTTGGGAGAAGTCTAGCTTTTGAAGACCTAAACCAGCAGAACTATTCATTCTCTCTTCGAATGTTATACTTAAGAAAAGAATTTTTCTTCAAGATAGTGCAATGTTTAGAAATGCATTTATTACAGCTTGTCAATCACGTATCTAGTATTTAGCTAAAATGTTTTGAATCGAATTGAGATCTTTCTTGACTTAACTCTGAATCTCTGCCATTCAGGTCTGTGAGAACTCCTGACATCTGAAGCTTGACTACCAAGTTTCCATAGCAACAGGAAAAAAGGAAAAAAAAAAAATCCAAATCTGAAGATTGCCGTTTACAGCTCTCGAACTTCACAACTAGGCCTCAATTGCTCCAGATTTTCATTTTCTTTGCAATTTCACTTAGTCTGTACTTCATCATTTTGACAGCATCTTCCTTTCTCCTTTAATTAATGGAACCCTCTGAATTTTCCCTGAATGTTTAAAGATCATGGCATATAACTTGACCTTCTGGGAGCAGAAACAACGACTACTTTTTCTGATGTGTCGCCATGTTGCTAGTTAGCACTCCACACATCCGGCTTTGTCTGTGGGTTACTATTTGTATATGTATGAGTATCTGTATGTGTATATACCCAGTATTTATAGAGAGAGAATATACAGGAGAAGCCTAGTTTTGATATGTTATTCTTCCTTAAGAGGCTAAACAAAGAAGGGATAGAAGCCACGACAGCTGACCCCTCCAGGGCCTCAGCAGCACATTCAGCACTAACGCAGACCACAGCTGACGCTTCTCCACCATCCCATTCAGTCTGGACACTCAGTCTGGGCACTGCCACAACCAGCAGGCAGGTCCACAGAGAGGGAGAGCAGAGACAGAAGTCTTTTCTCTTTAGTCCGAGGACTATAACCAGTTTTCACTGCCAATCATATGCCATGATCCAGAGTGAAAGCGGCGAAGAGCAGAACAGGAAATTTTACCATCAAATGCGGGAAAAAGGGCTGCAATATTCTTTCATGGACACCTGTGTGCATTTGTACGTGTCCTGAATCCACAGTCCCGCTGGTTCTTAACGGGGACACAGATCACAGCAGAGAATCTCTCCCTCTCGGTATATGTACAATTGCAAGTGTCATCATGGAGGTCACACATGTAAATGATGAGGTCAACAGGTACCGTGTGTATACATATATATGCCCACATGTATAGACATACACTTATGCACATACACATCATTTGTTTCATATATACATGCATAAGATAGAGTAAATACAGGTAGTTTTAAAAGTACCCTTTTGTGTGAATTGACTACCGTTGTTTGCAAACCTAAAAATAAAAGATGTTCATTATGTATGAAAAGTAATTGATTTTTATTCCGTGAGCATGTAAAAGTAAGAGGAAAGTTAGTGCTCGTACTAAGATTATCTTCTTGTTGATAAACTGTAAATGAACCGTCAAAGCTCACACCAAATTTTTCTATCAGATAAAACTAGCGACAGCCTGTGGCTTTTTATTAGAGTTCACCACAAACTAGGGTAAGGTAAGTGTCTTAGCATATTTTAATGCAGTTGCTTACTAAAGGTTTTTAACCACGCGCGCACACACGCACACACACACACACACGCTTTCTTATGCAATCTATGTTTGCATCTGTGCTTTTCAGTTTGCCTTCTGTAGGAAGTAGAAGTCATATGTTGTCTTTATTGTAGTAAAATTATGCCGATAGAGTTCCATATATTGTATTTGTTTCAATAGTAAATCTTTTTGGAGCATATAGAATGCAGACTTTTTTTTCCATTAAAATAAATGGGTATTGGTGGTTAAAACTGCTGGACAACAGCTTTTCTCTGATTCCTATGTTGTGTCTACTGTCACTGATGCTGAGTCTTGTTTTAGTGCAAGTTCACAATTTTGACTAACCATCTGGGGTCCCCCATACAGCTCTTGTTAGGTAAGTCTATAAAGCCAGAAGCACCCGCTCACAGCTTGAGCAACGCACTCATCTTATCCACCATCATGAACAATTTAAGCATCTCACAATTGGCTGTGAAGATGATTGCATACTTAAAGAAGAGCAAGATCATCTCAGTTTGATGACTGCATGACACATAGTCACAACCATCTGTACACTGGACGTGGGTGTTTTTTTTCTCAAACAATTCCTGTTGCTCAGTCAGAAGATGCCACATCCCAAACGTGACACAGTGGTTCTCCACAAGTACATGGAGTAAGCTCAGGGGCAAGGGGATCCAAGCCTGCACATTCACACTTGACAAGACGTCCATTTCTGGCTTTATAGGATGCAGCCTCGTGTCTCCCTGGTGGACCTCACTCCCCTTCTTCCCACAAGGCAGGGGGAGGCTGCTCGCCCTGGAACAAACCAAGGACCATGCTCAGATGGCCAGGTGGTTGGTAGCCTGACCCATCAGCTAACAGTCCAAAAGCTCACCTCCCTTCATGAACCTGGGCCATCCGTAGGGAGAAATACAGATATCAAGTGACCCATCTATGACACTTGCTCAAATTAAAAAGTAGAGACTCCTCCTTTTCTCTCAAGCCAGGAGATTCTCCTACACTTTCTAAATGGGTATTTTTCTCTTGAAAAAGAGAAATCAAGTCAGTAGCTTAACTGAGAATACAGAAAAATAGGCATAAAGTGCATACTTCATTAACAAGTAGCATATGCCTTAATTTGCCCCTGTTTAAGTATCTTCCCTGTCCCCAGAGCTCTTATCAATTCAGAGATATTTCTGTTATGTTGTTCTCGCTAATCATTTCAAAAGAAATAGACCAATTCTTAGAAGCCAGCGTAGTAGTACTTCCTGAGTCACAGGATGTTTTTTAACTTGCTAGAATCCATTTACCTTATTTCCTAAAAGCAAAATGGAATCAAAATGTTATGTCTTTATTACCAATGCATTTTATTGTAGTCCAAGTTATTGGGGAAAAAAAGTCAAGAGCCAGAAATCACTTTTCCCAATTACTGACCTCAAGACTGAGGGTTTTCTTTCCATTGAGTGAACAGTCACACCTTCTTCACTTTTTATTAATACTTCAACCACTTTAGTTCATTAAAAGTTACATTTTATCCCCATTTTACATATGATTAATTATTTGGGATAATTTGTTTTAATAAGAACATGAAAACATTTTCTAATTTTGATAAAAGTTACCTTTAATACTCCAGTTCTCTCCAAATGAAGATCATTTCAGGTAGATGTACCTGCCCTCTCAACCAACATCTGTAATTATGAACATAGCAAAATAAATCCAGCTAAATTTCATGGTAGGTATCAAATAAGACTTTGATTCTTAAAGAATATTTTTAGAAATTTTAATAAGTCATTCTAGATTTTCAAAATGTCATTTTAAACAGTCTGATAAATGGAATAACCATTTACAATCAAACTCTTGACATAGATTAGATTGTATTTTATCCAAAATAAATACATTGGGTCTTGAACTTAAGATGTGGCAACTAAAAACTTATTAACAAAGTTTTGTTTGATGCTGGGGTTAGTGCAATTGTACCCATAAACAAACTACCCAGGTGACTCTGAAGAAAAGTCTACAGTTCTCCTGGGGAGTATGAGCAAGGTACAAAAATCCAATTGATGATGATGGTAATGATGATTTAGATTTATTGCTTATTATGTGCCCACACTGTACAAAATCTTTATTCCTAGTAACTCATTGAATTCTGAAAACAACCTTATGAGGCAAGTACTCTTTTCTTCTCCAACTTTCAGATAAAGAAAGCTGAGGCTCAGAAAAATCAGATGGCTCACTCGGGGTAAGTGGCCTCCAGAACCAGAACCCAGGGCATTTAGTTCCAGGGCTCATGTCATTCCCACTGTGTCACAGTGCCACTGCCAACTCTGCTGCAAAACCAGACAAAATGTCTACAGACCAGAAAACCCTCATGTGAAGCCCTAATTAGCATGACTATCTGTTCAGACCAACTAAACCGACCTACTTTTTCTTAACTTTCTGTTAAGAGTGTTAAAACTATTCTAAATTAATATGGAACCTTAGAAATGTTTCCTGTACAAGATATTATAATTTTCTTAAGTATTTCTTCCCTTCCCTTCTCTGACTTGTTAGCAGGTACACGAGGGGCTCTACCAGATTAATTATATATCTCAGTTATCCAAAGGAAAATTCACATCCTCCCAAGTACCCAGTCTCTGCCAAACCAACTGAGGGGAGGGGAAGCTGAGGGAGAAAGTGGTGTGGGATCTTCAGGAACGTACAGTGTCCTTAGCTGTAGACAAATTCTAAAGGATCTTCAAGCAGTTTCTGATTTTGCAGACATAGCACATTAATCTATCCACGTGTGGTTGACTTAAGCATGATCATCAGGTATATCACACTGAGAGAAAGGTGAACACAGAAAGAACGAACTACCTTTTTGTTTAACTACTAAATAATAATGATGATAATAACTATAATAATCTAATACTCTGGCTAGACCTTTCACAAAGATGATGCATCCCATCTTCTATTCTCATCTGGCTTTTAAGATTGGAATCTACCTCTCATAATCTAATAAGATGTTTTCATCTAAAGCAATTAACAATTCTTTTGCTATGAAATATGTTACCCTTATTATATCTTCTATTGCTAATGGGTTAGCCCACTACTAAAAAAATTTTATAGTTTTGACTGTGTTTACATAAAAGCATGTACAAAATATGTAGAGAAAGAGAAAATGGTGGGAATGATGTGTGAACAAGGACTTTAATTCCATAAGTTAAGAATAAGTATAATTTAAGCAGAAATAATTTAGATATTCACCAAATTCAGTAGGCAGAAGAGCCTCTTCCTATCATTCATGCTACATCACTATCATAACATTAATCGTTGGAGGGTTGCTGAGCTTGATAAGCCTTCAAACCATTTTATTTGGCTCCCAAGTGTTAGCTGAGAAGCAATGAATGTGGTTAAAATACAATAATTTTCCCTACGAAGTTATAAAGCCTTTGAGAAAGTGGCTCAAACAAGCACTATAAGTGTTTGCTGAAATTTTCCATTTTCCACTACTTTTTTGAAGCTTTTCCTTTAGAAAGTAATAAAGTCATTTTTTATCTATAACATACATGCATTCAGATTATTAAAGAGTTAAAAATGAAGGCTATATGAAAAAAATTATGTGCCGTCATGCACATATTCACATGGTTCTAGTGTTAAATATTAACACCAAGATAAAGATATTATTATCCCAAGATAAAAATGTTTAGAAATTGTAAAGGAATTTTTTTTTTTTTTTACGAACACTCAAAAGGGATAAGTTTACCATTTAAAAATATTTAATTCTATTACAGATGTAATTCTTTTGGGCCCCGGTTGCTGAATTGCTTATAGTTTCTGAGCCGTAAATTAACATTTGATTTGTTAATATAGTTGCAAAGAAATTTGTAACTTTTTGTGAAATATTTAAATAAAAGTTATCTGGGATTTAATGTATTACTTGGTCTTAGACCATCTTGAGTACAGTTGAAACACAGAACAAAGAGATACTTTTTCAAACGATGCTCTGGTTGGCCTGTAATGCTTAAAGACCAAGACTGAAACCAAGTGCTGCCTGACTAACAGTTAACTCTTTTCCTCTTTTTTCATAACAGTCAGATCCTATAATTTGGAAGAGACAGATAGATGATGATAGATATTAGATGATAGATACATGATGGTGATGACAGATGATAGATAGATAGATAGATAGATAGATAGATAGATAGATAGATAGATGACAGATAGATAGATGATTGATAGATACATGATCGATAGATAGATGGAAGATAGATGATAGATATAGATAATATAAAGAGAGATAGATGATAGATATATAGAGATAGATAGATAGATAGATAGATAGATAGATAGATAGATAGATAGATGATAGTTAACAGATAGATGATAGATGATACATAGACAGATGGAAGATAGATGATAGATATAGATGATATAGAGATAGATGACAAATAGATATTATAGTTAATAGATAGATGATAGGTAGATATAGATAGATGATAGATGAAAAATAGATGGATAGATGGATAGATATAGATAGATAGATAGATAGATAGATGATAGATAGGTAGATATAGATAGATGATAGATGAAAGATAGGTAGATAGATGATTGATAGATAGATAGTTGATAAAGAGAGCGAGAGTGAGAGAGAGAGAGAGAGAGGATAGATAGCAAGAAGATTAGTGAGATCCCTAAAAAAAGGAGAGGAATGGTACAAATATTTAATAAGTGCCTCCTATGGGCCAGATGTTTTACCTATTTATATTTATGGGCTTGAAGAGACTGAAGAAGTTTGAAATGTCCACTAAGGAGTGGGAGTGAGCACAGCCCAGGCCACTAGAAAGATGAGGCATCATATCCTGAAACTGCTGTAGTGTGACACCAGCAGGTATGTGATTCTCAGCAGCTGCATTCAGCAACCTGGGAGAAAAGCAAACCAGGTAAACTGCAACTCACACCAAGGTTGGGTAACAACAGAGCTGATGCAGGTGAAACTGGGGAAAGGACGAATCAAAAGTTGTCTAAGGCCTAGCGCTAATCATTCCTTCTCTGCTTACACAAGGCACGCACACACACCGCACTTCATTGTAGTCACACGTGTACACCACACCTCCTCAGTGCAGATCTGGGAAAGGAGGAGTTCAAGCTGAGAATGGCCCAGCTTGAACCGGAGAACAATTATAAAAGTACTGTATTAATCTCATGCAAAACCAAACCACCTTGAAAGGGGAAAAGAGAATTACTTCAGCTACATAATTAGTCTAGAAAGAGCTAAAAAGAATGCTAAGAGAAGAAAAGACATCTATGACACTTTTTAAAGGTTTAAAATGAGGGTTGTTCAAAACCAGTTTTAAAGGTTAATTACTAGTGCCTTACACATGATACAGTAGTTTTGTTAATGGAACAATATTCAGTTAGGTTCAGTGTGTCAACCCCATAAAGTAAGTATATCAGCCATGACTAAAAATTAGTGAAGCTTTTGCATAAAGCAGCTGTTTAAAAGACATTGGTCTTTACAATGTCTGTTTAAGTGCAAAAAAAAAAAAAGTTTTCACTAAAGAAGTGTCATGTTTGCTTACTCTTTATGTAAAGAAAATGTCAATCAGTATAAAAAAGATTTCAAGTCTCCTGACAGAAACACACACACACACACACACACACACACACACACACACACAACTCCAGTTCCCAATGCTAATTCATGTTCTCTGTTACTCATGACCATAAGCCAGATGTGTCTAGAAATCTAGAGTGTGGGTGTCCAGACTACTTTGCTGGGTGTGGGAGCCCCAATGATTGGAGTCCACAGTGAGAAGGCCTGAAATCCCACCCAGCATTGACTACTCACTAACTAAATGATTCTAGAGGTTCATGTCAACACTTTATCACATACCAAGCATGATACAAATTTAAAATGGTGTGACTTTACCAGCTGTTATGGTTGAATTGTGTCCCCCTCAAAAAAAGACATGTTGAAGCCCTAACCCTCAGAACCCTAGAATGGCACCTTATTTGGAAACAGGGTCTTTGCATATACAATGTTAGAATGGGGTCATGCTGTAATAGGGTGGGCTCCTACTCCATAAGAAGAAGAGAGGGAGACACAGGGAGAAGGCCATGTGAAGATGGAAGCGGAGATTGGAGTGATGCATCTACAAGCTACGGAATGCCAAGAATTGCCAGCAGCCACCAGAAGCTGAGAGCAGGGCACAGAACAGATTCTCTCTTAGAATCCTCAGAAGGAATCAACTCTACTGACACCTTGATTTCAGACTTCTGGCCTCCAAAACTGTGAGACAATAAGTTTTTGTTTTCAGCCAACTAACGGCCCTAGGAAAATAACACACCAACCTTCAATCTCAATATATACAGAGAAAACTTCTCAAGAAATGGCCGAAGTGAAAATAAATTCATACATGTATAACAAGTGAACAGGATTCTAGTCAATGTTCATAGATCCCTCTAAAGCTATTGATCCTCTACTGAGGGTGATTCCTCCCACTCCAGGAGTCACTTGGCAGTGTCTGGAGGTATTTTTGGTTGTCACAGCTGAGTAGGTGGTTGCTACTGGCATCTTGAGGGTAGAAGTCGGAGAAGCCACTCAACATCCTACAATGTACAGGGCACACCACACCTCCCACAACCACCAAGAATTATCCAATCCAAAATGCCTATGGTGCTTCTGTCGGGCAGCCCCGCTCTAAACTCAGACATCTCAGAGAATTCTAGAATGATTGGAAAAAAAGAAGGTAGAGTCTGAAAGTCCTGGGCTCAGGTCCTTTCTCTTCTCAATCTGACAGCCTGGTTTAAGAGTTTCAGCTGCTCTGTGTCTGTTTGCTCATCATTGTAAACATGTGGTAGTTATATCACAAGGGTTTGTCTGAGGATTAACTTTAAACACTGAGAGATGTTTTTTTAAGTGATCAGGTAAGACACTAACCAAATACCAGTTAAAAACAATCAATCATAGGAAGATCCGGCGGGTGGCGGGGAGAGGGCGCTCACAGAGAGAGGCTGAAATGGGGGCCAGCAAGTGGCTGATGAAGAAAGTTCAGTCTTATGCCTTCCACAGCCAACCCCCCCAGGTTTGTTACAGATGCTGTTACAGCTCCCCTCAGCCTCTCTGCAGCTAAAATCAAGCTGGAACTGACCCCTCATACAGTTCCTAAATAAGGAATGTGAACGTTGTGGAGACATGCCAGGCCTTCAATCAAGGACTCTCCTACTCCTTTGCCAATGAGACCTACTCCCAAGACCACCTGTGGGTCTCCACAATGAGATCCACTCCCAAGACCACCCGACTCAGCAGGGCCCTGTCTTTAAACACCCAAATCCTGTCTCTTAAGCCAGCACACTGCTCCCTCCTTGACCAAATCAGAAACCTTCCCCACTCAACACCATGTAACATCATGTTGAATGAAAGAAGCCAGGCACTAAGGAGGCCTTACTGCCTGATTCTTATATGAAGTTGAAACACAGGCAAAACTAACCAACTGTGTTAAAAGTCAAGACACTGGTCAGTCGCCCTGTGAGTGAGTGGGTGGGTGGGTATGAGTGAAAGGAAAGGAGCCGAGGGGCTTCTGGAGGGCTGGTCATATTTCTTGACTTGGGGGTGTGGGGCTTTTTGGAAAGTAGTGTAGGATTTCTGAACCATCCAGAACATATTTTATAATTAAATTAAAATTAAAAGCTAAAAACAATCAGGAAAATCTAAAAACAAACTGCCCCACCGCACCAGCACCTCCACTCAACCCTTGTGGGGAGGAGGAAAAACACTGGGACAGAGAGCTTACGTAACCAGGCCAGAAGCTGGGCAGCTGTGGTGTGGTGGGTGCGCCCCTCAGCCCTGGGACTTCAGTTACCCCTCCCGGGACCCGACCCCCTTCTCCCTTTCAGGTGATTGTGGGGTTTTGTTGGAAGTCAGGCGGCGGCACAGGCCTGGGCTCGGCACCTTGAAGTTGCCCAGCAAGTGAGTCCCCACGGGCCAAAGGAAACCAGAGCGGCCTTTAAACAGAGAGCCAAGAAAGAGGTCAAGGTCACTCCTTCACCGGTTCGCCGCAATGCAGTGTTTGTTTCCCTTTTTTCCACCAGGGCTGAGAATGGGGCGTGGCTAGGGGCGGGGTCAGGGGCGGGGC